CTATTTGGAACAATTTTGTTGATTTAATTATTTGTGTTAAATTAATTTTTATTTATGTTTGATGCAAAAAATATATACTTTGTTATTAATTGGTGGGGAATGGGGATCCTCGCGGGGAACGGGGACTGGGGGCAAAATCTGCCCCCCGTCAAAAATCCCCGCGGGGATCCCCATCCTCGCCATTCGCGGGGCCCCGTTGACATCCTTAGTCTTAGGGCACCAAATAAAACTCTGATGGAAGAGCTCACCAAATGAAGATTTGGATCTTGCTCGGTCTTGCTCATCTATTGACGAGGTCTTAGGTCGGCAAATAAAACTCTGATGTAAGAGCTCACCAAATGAAGATTTGGATCTTGGTCGGCCCTGCTCATTTATCAAAGAGGTCTTAGGGCAGTAGATAAAATACTAATGTAAGAGCTCATCAAATGAAGATTTGGATCTTACTCAACCTTACTCATCTATTGAAGAGGTCTTAGGACGACAAATAAAACTATGATGTAAGAGCTCACCAAATGAAGATTTGGATCTTGGTCGACCCTGCTCATCTATTGAAGAGGTCTTAAGGCGGTAAATAAAACTCTGATGTAAGAGCTCACCAAATCAAGATTTGGATCTTGCTTGGCCCTGCTCATCTATTGACAAGGTTTTAACATGGCAAATAAGACACTGACTGGGAAGTTGAGGAAAGACGACGTGGAACCGAGAAGTTGAGGAATGACGACCTAGAACCAAGAAGCTGAGGAATGACGACCTGTAACTAGGAAGCTGAGAGTGATGACCTAGAACCAGGGATCTGAGGAATGACGACTTGGAACCAAGAATTTGAGTAATGACGACTAGGAACCAGGGATCTGAGTAATGACAACCTGGAAACCAAGAATTTGAGGGAAGACGACCTAGAACCAAGAATTTGAGGAAAAACGATCTTGTTCCGCAGATCTAACTTCTCCTTCTCCCTTCTTGGTCAACAATGACAACAAAGCATGAAAGCTTTTTATTCAATTCCCACATACGACACCATTTGTTTAGGCAGCTTCATGAGCTCTAGTTGACCATGAGTTGACTAGTGAGGGGACTTGTAAAACAAACCCGAGGGTTATCCCTCGAGGTAAACACTCCGATGCCCAAATTAGCAATATTTTATACTTGGGGCTCTCTTTAGAGAGAGAAGTATAAATAGAGAGAGAAGAGCTCTTGGAGAAGTCCCTTACCTTTGAGAGGTGTGGGGGTATTTATAGACTCTTTGGAAGTGCTTTACACGTGTTGCACTTCTATTGGTCCCTTTGGATCCATTTAAGTGTATATGAGCTCCATGATGACTCATGCATATGCTCCTTTGTATTTGGGTCTCATGGGCCTTTATTACATTTGTCGACTAGTTAGATTACTATCCCAATACATAGTGGTTATCTAAAAAGAACTTGTGCAAAGTAGGAACTCTAAGTTCCGTTGATCTTATTAGGAAATGGTTGCTTGATTTGCTATAAGATTGACTCTGTTTGCTTGGAGAAGAATTGAGGGAGTTGTAGAGTGGCAAATTTTGTAAATTTGAAGGGAGATATTTTTGTTTTTCTTTTAATGCCACGTAGAGATATAAAAAAAAAAAGGGGGGGAAGCAACCATCCAGCTCAATGTCCAAATAAGAAAAATGGATCCATCGTGTTTAAGAAATTTAACTTATCCTACCGTTAACAAATTGATGTCACACTTAGATTTTAGTCGTTCTGTCCAACTTCAAAAAGATAATAAGGTGATTTGTTCACCTTTTTTTTAGGGATTGACCCATTTCTACTACCTAATTTTGGGAGTGAATTTGAACATTCTATTAAATATGTAAAAATAAATTAAAAGATAATATAGTAAAAAAAATTAATGAATTATAGAGCATAAATAAATAAAAAAAGTACTAAGAGAATAATGTTAATTAGTTATATCATTCATGTTTTGACTTAAAAACTTATAATATAGGTATTTAGAAGAGATGGAACAAATTGAGGTAAAAAGGAAATATATAATATTAATAGTTATAAATGCAAAGATAAAGAAATTAATAAAGATTTTAATTAACTACTCTAACATATTTTTTAAAAAAAAAAATAGTTGACATAAAAGTCAAATAACTATTTATAATGAATTAATATGTGTTTAAAATGAACTTTATATTTATTAATTATAAATTAATTTTAATTACTAATCAATATTATTATATTTAATAATTACTAAAAAAACGCAAAATAGAAATGAAGCGCGAAGCACAATTTTAAAATCTAGGTTTTTATTATTAAAAATGAAAATTAGTGTATCACGATATTTTTTTTTAAATTATTCAAATACTTTTAATAAATCTTACATGTTAATTTATTAAAGTTATTTTAATTTTTCTCATTATTATTTTTGATATTTTTATTGTCAAGATATTTTGATTTTCCTTAATTTTTTTATTACTTTAGTTTTGGTTGTTAAAAATTTAATAATATTAAATTAAGATAAAAAAAAACCTAACTATATTAAAATTAAATAGTTCTCAATATAAATAATTCAAATATTTATAAAAAGATAGTAATTTTAATTAGTAAGACTTGTGAAAATTTAAGCTGAAAAATATTTTAAAAATATATTAATTTAGTAAAATATCATGAGATAAGAATAAAGCAATATTATTCTTATTTTAAAAAATATGTTATTTTGTATTTTTCAATGAAAATTTATTAAAATATTTTTTTTTCTAATTTTTTACAAGTTTAGTTGATGAACATTTTTTTGTTATAAAAAACATAAATTTTGCTAGCTTATAATTACATTAATTACACTTTTTTTCATTAATTATTAAAAAAATTCTAACTTTAATTGTCTTAATTTCCTAATTAAAAACATCCACACCACAATTGTTCCATACCGCCATATATTGGTATGCACATTTTAACTGTGATCCATTGTTAAGTTGTTAATTTCAAAGGAATCCTTTCATTCTTATATGATAAAAAATTAGATACAATTCCCTTCTCATCCACAAGTAGACCCCTCACATAGCCCATCATCCCACCTTTAATCAAAAGACCCAAGCCTCATTGGCATCAGGGATTGCAAGCGCATTATAGCAACCAGCAAGTTGTCTGAATCCTACAAAGAAGATGCATTCAACTGATACTAAAAAGATCAAAATACAAGTTTCATAAAAAGAACCTCACAAAATTCAAGAACCGTTAACATGACACTTATTTTTGCTTGAACGGTTACAATTGTGTAACACATATGTTTAAAGGGAAGAAAAAATTGGTATGCCTGGCAATGTGACCCCAGCATCAACAATAAACATGTTGCCAGAGACATATGCAGAAGAATCATGGATTAGGTATCGGACAAGCGAGGTTAATGCTGGATCAGAGGTGCCAAATGTTCTTAAAGGGGCAGTCCTCAAAGCCACATTTGTCAACCAGTCTTTCTGCATAAGAGCATCAGTGATCTCTGATTTGAAAAGTCCAGGTGATATTGAATTCACTCTGATTTTATGCACCCCCAACTCCAAAGCCATTACCTGGATATTTTCATTGTCATTTTCTATTCTCCAAGATAAAACAAATGCAAATTGAATCAAATATAAACATATTTATCATCACAACATGAGTCTTTCAACAGTAAATTTTAATTCTATGTTACCCCCACCATCAAAAAACACCTGGCATCCACCACTATGAGAAAGCAACAAGTATTGTCAATTGTGAAAGAATAACCAGAACTGATATGAAAAACATTCTAACAAAGAGGCCTTGTCCTCCTTGAATGCATATCCTTATTACTCCAACGTGGTGATCTTGTAAAAGCTATGCTTTGTGAAGAATAAAGTGAAATTTGCAAATAATAGAAACTATGCAGAAATATTTGACTAGAATATGCAACGCAAGATAAGTAAACTGCAGTTCGCAGGTCTGACAACGTTACCAACCACTTCATTATTTAATTGGACTGCATACACTTGTGCATACTCAAATGTCTACGTAATCTAATGACTGAAACTATTATAAAGTATTTAACTGGATAAACAAATCGACAATCAATAATCTGTAGCTACTTATAAAACATGTACCTGCTAGCAAGATGTAATATATATGGTCTGAGTCTAAAATACTTGAACTTTCAAATTTTGTTATGTACTTCTCCTTCTACCAAACCCAGAAACTATCAAAGATATTTGTAACTACCACTTCTTTGTTCCTAGAGCAGAATCTCCGACTTTTCCCGTTTTAAACAATTCTCCTCTGTAGCACACTACTAAAGATACTATCACCATGACATACTCAATGCTTACAAATGTGCCCAACATAAGAACTTCATAACCATGCATCAATCTATGCAAACAATGCAACCATCACTTTTAAACAACAAATAACTTCATGTGATGTTTACCTTTGTCATGGTGTTTACACCTGCCTTGGCAGAAGCATAGGCAACGCCCCCAGGTAATTGCCCACGATTAAGGCCAGCAATGGAAGAAATGTTGATCACTGATCCCCCTCGATTTGCATCACGCATTCGAATGCAGACATACTTTGACACCAACCATGATCCTTTTAAATTAGTCTTAAAAACATGATCCCACTCCTCCTCAGATAATTCCAGAGGTGTCTTCACATTACCTTCAAGGTAAAAATTCACCCCAAAAAAAAGAGAGAGATTTCAAAAAATGAAAACAATATAATAACAAAATTCACAGTATTTTGTTCCCAATTTATAATTTTTATATAAAAAAAAAAAAGTTTAGAACCCTAGTTTGAAAGGCAAAATGGTTTCCCCTCATATAATTCCAGAGGTGTCTTCACATTATCTTCATGGTAAAAATTCACCCTCCTCTCCCAAAAAAAAGAGAAATTTCTCAAAATGAAAACAATATAATAACAAAATTCACAGTATTTTGTTACCAATTTAAAATTTTTATTAAAAAAACGTGTAGAACCCTAATTCAGAAGGCAAAATGATTTCTCCTCAGATAATTCCAGAGGTGTCTTCACATTACCTTCATAGAAGCACAAAATGGAAGCA